CGGCCATCTGAGAGGCCTACAGGGGTTTGAGGAGACAGAAGTAGATATACAGAAAGTAACAAAAAAATAAAAGGTAATTGTCTTTCAGCTCCACAGGTGGCCCCGACCAGGAAACACACAGCCTGGCAGGCGAGCTCCGAGCCAGCTCCTCGACCAGACTTATTGGATTTACACCTAGGACTTCTTGTAAGGTCTCTACTATCCAAACTAATCCATTTTATTACCATACAGAGAAACCAAACAAAAAAATATTAAAACAGTATTCAAATATTTGCATTGAAAAAACATTATTATAATGTTACAAATATATATATGTATATTTATACATATACAGTATGCTGTCTAAAAGAAGCAATTATTTTATGGCAGCAGTCTGCATAGCTGCTGTTCATGAGAACAATTTGAACACTTGAATTCATTGATTTTGAAGAGCTACTGACTCAACCACAGCTAGATTCTCCATTCAGCTGTGCTAAGAAAGTGAACAGTTTTGTTCACATGAAGCTAGTTCTGTGACTTGAGGCAAGTCACAGAACTAAAATATGCCTGATCAGGTCATTTTGTTGTCTAACAACAACTTTTAACGTAGTCAGCTCTGTTATTTAAGAGAAACTCAGACTGTTTCAAAGCAGTACTCAATGGTCACATGACCCATTCAGTGATGCATCCGATCGCCTCCGTTTACATAACTCAGTTTTTGTGAAGAGCAGCCTGCATGGAGCATTGATACCTGCCAAGTGCCGAATACTGACCTGAAAGGTCTTTTAAAGTGTGAGAGAATGATCCATCCCATAACATACCATCTTTATTTATGAAGTACTTTATAGTAAAAATGTCTGCAAAGTGGTGTACTGAAAGTAACAGTAAAATTAAAATAGACCAGTAAAACATAGACAAGCTAAGATAGACAAAGAGGATAGATAAAAAACTTAAAATAGTTTAAAAAAAATTGAATAAAAACAGTCAACCTCTCAGGATGTGCAAAATGTCTCAAACTTTGAAAGAGAGGAAGCCTGCCTGACGTCCAAGGGTCGATTATTCCACAGCTGTGGAGCCTTTGCAGCGAATGCACAATCTCCTCTGTTTCGATTTAGGGACAATGAGGAGCTGGTTGGAAGGTGTAAGAGAATGCAGCAGCTCACAAAGGTAGGGTGCCAAATCATAAGACTTTTAAAAACAAAGGAATTCAAACTTATCTTAAAACTTACACATACACAATGAAGGGAAATTAAAATAGGGGTAATGTGGTCCAACCTTTTTTTTCCCAGTTAAAAGTTGTGCAGCAGCATTTTGCACAACCTGCAGGGACCTGAGTTATGTCACACTAACCCCAAGATGGAGCGAGTCTAGATGTTACAAAACCATGAATAATGTTTCAAAGAGCTGCCTTGTTATAAATGGCTTTACTTTAGTCAGCTAAAGGGTAATAATGGAAGTTAATACCATTCTGCTACAATATACAACAAATCAATCTTTCAATTATTCCAGGGTATACAGTAGGAATAATATATGAAGGGAAGCCTTTTTTTTCTATTAGGTTTGCATAATTAATCAGTTAAAGAAGAAAATGACACTAAATATCCCTAAGGCTTGGAATGATTAAAAATGCTTGAACTGTGTTTTTTCCAATTTTGAGAGAACTTCCTTTGAAATGTAAAGAGGAAGCGGGGACATAAACTCCACAAAGGTTGGACTGATATTATTTTCCTGTCCTTCACAAACAGGATACAGACTTGCAAGGTTTCAGTGGTAGACAGACACTTAGTGATACATTTCTGTTTTTAATTTACAACTTGCCTTTTTTTGACAACTTGCCAGTTTTTGTAGTTTGGATAAAGAATACAGTCTATATCTAAACTGAATCCCATAGAAACCTGGTATCCTAGAGTGGGTTTTCATTATATTTATGAGTAGTAAAACTGTTGAGCAGGGCGGTTGTGGAACTGTACTCCAAACTGTGGAAACTATTTTGTAATACAAAGTAGTTATGTCAGTGGAAAAAAATAGCTGGAAATGGGAGGAAACCCTGCAAAGTTCCTGTTATCACTCCGGATTCTGTTACTCTTCACTGTGCTTCCAGAGTTTAGGGAACATTTGACTTACTGTTAGATAAAACTCTAAGCCTTATTCAACACCCTTTTCAAGATAATGACCATGGTGGTGTTAAGTACCTTAAGATTTTGCTTAAATAAGAGAAGCAATAATTTAACACTTGGTTTTAACTCAAGTAATAATAGAAAGTCTTCATTTAAAAGATTACTCAGGTTAAAGAAAAGGGTAATTTGTACTCAAGTGAGTAAATAAAGGTTGACTTGAAATGTTTGGTGAAATTTTGGTATTGTATACTTTAAAAGAAAGAAGATCAAATAACATGATTACAAAATGGAAACTTCTTTTAATGGTTTTTTTAAACATAAAGGTCTAAAACAAATCTTTACAGCAGTTATATCAAATTTTTATAGAGAACTTCCAAAAATACTTTGCTCTCTCCAATACCATTACTCATGGTGGGAAAAATAATAATATATAATTATATTACTTAAGCTAAATTAACAAGTATGTTAGAGTGCTACATTTTTACTAGTCAAAAAGCTAGTCCAGGTTGTAACTAGTGTAACTACTTACTACCCTCCTCTGGTAATGACTAAGATAGGGAACCTGAGTTAAAGTAAAATATTATCATTAAGTAAGTATACTGTATACTTGTTATTGAGAAGAGAAAGGTCTTAAATAATGAAAAAAAAAAACTAAAAAGCTATTCTATTTTGGAATTTGATCGACTTCTTACATTTTATAGACAGTGTTGGAAATCTGTTCAAGCTTTAGTAACTTAATGTTAACATTATGCTGTTCCTGGATTTCTTCATAGAATAAATGTGAGTGCTCAGAAAAAGAAAAAAACATTTTGAACAAAGCTGTAGAGGGTTGTGGACTCAACCACATTCCTAAGGCTAGAAATATATTATATATATCCAATATTTGACTGAAGATGTCGTCTGAATGCTGAACACCTTTTGCTGAAACAACTGGCAAAAATCCTTACTATTATAAAAAGTCTATACAAATATCAAGACCAAATAAAAAATATATATATAATAGGAGTTTAACTTAAAATATTAAGTATTTCAAATGTTTCTATTCATATTCTTACATAAAATGTCATACATTCTTCTATTATTTTTGCACTATGCTACTTTAAACTTTCTCTGTTTCTGTATGATTTAATCCAACATGGTGAGGTTAAAAATAGTTTATAGAGATAGATTTAAACTTAACATATTGAATATGGGCTTTCGGTGAGCCATGCAGTCAAGATGAATATCATATAAAGCCCTTATTTAAAATGTGAAACATGGAGGGAGATCACCGTGATGATAATTTTGAGACGGTGCGATTGTAGGAGGTGGAGGAATTCTCTTCATCCAGAATGTTATGTGGAGGAGGCCTGCAGAAATAAGCGGTACCAGTCGGAGCACTTGGCTCTAGAGATGAGCCTCCTGACATATCTGGCCAAAAACGGAACAGATTCTGTTTGGTTAGTTGGTGTTTTAAATGATAAACTACATGTAGATTAAACTGTTAAAAAGTATGGACTAGATCTAAACTGTCTCTAACTCGCCAAAGAGGCATGGGAGAGACAGCAGCAAAGCTACTCGTGTCCATTTTTTCTAGGTGATGTTCTAACAGTGGTAGAGCCAACAATAATACTGATTGAAAATAAGATTCCATACCTACACCCTTTAAAAATGAGGAGGGCACCCAAAAGGCTTTAGACACAACAGCAGGGTGGCAGAAGAATTTGCAGCAAATTGTCCAAGTAATGCCCGGGACATGTGGACAAAACTATAAGATGTTGGGACAGCTTATTAGCAAAACGATCAATTTTGGGATTGTTGTAAATGGAAATGCTGTAAAAAAAACACATATACAGCACCAAAGTGAAATAGATTGCAAGGGAGTACCATGGAGAGTAGTTTAGAGCAGTGTTTTTCAATCCTGGTCCTCAAGGCAACCTGCCCTGCATGTTTTAGATGTTTCCCAGCTTTCACACACCTGTTATCAATTGATAGCACATTATCAGGCTTTGCTGAACTGCAATAATCTGAATCAGGTGTGCTGAACCTCAGAAACATCCAAAACATGCAGAGCAGGGTGCCTTGGGGACCAGGATTGAAAAACACTGGTTTAGAGGGTTGGGATGTAGAATTACTGAAAGCTTTTCCCAGTAGAGCTGCTGTCCTCTCCTCCTCTTTGGAAATAAATTCTTTTCTCTTAACCAATGTAAACAGTTCAAATACATGCTCAAAATATCTGTGGCTTGGCTGATTATTTTCACACAAATATTCAACATATTTTCTGACAATGAAATATGATTGCTTAGATTTACACTGAAATAATTCTCAATGAGAAACCACTAAAGAGGCAGGGTACAATAATATATAATTAAATTTTTTATAAGGGACTTTTCTACTTTTTTTGGCCCACACCCTTAACAGGATAATGGCTTAACCCCATTCTGTGCGGGCAGCAATTATATTCATTGAGTGTCTCCTAAACAGAACAAAAACTTCTACTTTTTAAGATGTAAGCAATAACTAAAGTGATTCCTCTATATGTTTCCAGTGATTTTTGCTTATAAAGAACTTCAGGGTTTGATACACATTCTGCATATACATATCTCAATGTAAACATATGCATAGAAAACATTTTTACGTTTCGTTTTTAAGTTTGCTCTTACTGCATACCTGATCTTATTTTGTTCTGATCATTTCTACCTCTTTCTGTGACTGCATATGCTTCCATTTGCATTTCATTTTGCTGCTGGGATACGTGAATTTCCCTGCTGAGCATAAAGGAGGTCATTCTGTTCTATTTTTTTCTATTATACTTATATTTCCAAGTTTTTTTTTTTATTGTCAAGAATAAAATATTTTGTTATCTTATTGAACTGAATACATGCTAACAATACTATTAAATATGTATAAGGAAAAAGATTCCCTGTTGATTTCCTGGGTAAATCAGGAAAACCTGAAATAATAAACAATCATGAAAAGAAAGTCAAGTCAGGGGCGGAGTAACAGATAGTATCTTTACCAGCCTCCTAAGCAGTCTGTAAACTGAATTAAAGTCGTTGTGTCCTTCCTGAATAACTTGTATTATGTCTCTGTCCTGAAGAAAGAAGAAAACATGGAAACCCACCAGCAGAAGAATTCTCAAGACTCTTGAACTGAATAGTTTTAAAATAATTTATAGCTCTAGTAGAAAAAAACGTTTACAGCATAAATAGTATATACAAAACTAATAATTATCAAAAAAGTGATTTAACAGGATTCTAAAATAATCATCAAGCTTGGCCTTCTTTGAATAGAAGTGCAAAAATGAAAGGTATAAAAGTGAGCCTCTTGTTGGTTCATTGCTTGGTAATGCTTTGGCAGTCTTTCATCTTTATCCGTATCTGTTCGGTCCAGTTCCAACCAAGCTGAAGTTGATAAGAAACAAAAAAAAGAAAATCAGATTTTTATTTTCATAATTGAGCAAAAAAAAAAAAAAAAAAAAACACACTGCAGTGATATTTTTGACAGATTCATATTCATAACTGTACCTTATATATCAAACTGAACAAGAAGACAAATTAAGAAAACAAAAATGAGGACTGGTTTCCTGTTGGTGTTAGGTTATAAAATATACATGAAATGATGTATACCTGAATGAAGAGGGACACTTAAAGTGTTTGGAAGTGTAATAATTCCGGCTTCAGGTCTTCTCCAGTGTCATATGAGCTAAAGTGTCATCAAATAAGGAATGTATGTGAGAATTATTGGGAGGGAATATTTCAATAAAAAAGAAAATGTTAAAGTCAGGTTTTATTTGATTTAATTTGCAATCAGCATCACTGGGAATTGATGATTAGTAATTATAAGGGGAATATTTTAGAGGATGAAAAAAATTTAAAGCACTGAAATCAATATGAGTTGATAGGAACAATGTTTTTTTGACTGATTGTACATTAGTGTAACTTAGCAAGAAAAGCACAGTCGGTTGCAAACCTGTAAGTTAGTTATTATTTTGTCTTCCATTACTCCCCTTCTTGACCCCTTGTTTAGATTTTTTTTTTACTTGGCCAGAAGATACTGTGCAACCAGGATGTCTTCAGCCAAACCCTACACTTCATCATTTATTTAGGCTGCTTTGACTAAGAAGTGGCCCACAATCCAAGATCACATAAAAACTTAGATAAAGCACTTCATGGCCAACTGGAATCAGTAAAGGTCAGGGACAGGTCATGTGAGCGGAGCGAAGCGGAAGAAACTGAGCAGAAGAATGGTGGAGCGGTGGAACGGTTTTCAATTCAAAGGCTGGAGCGAGGATTTGGCTTTGCTCCAGTTCCATATGACTTTATATAAATTTATGTTTGACTTAAAACCTAGGCCAATGTCTATGCTGTAGTCTGTGCCTATAATCTGTTATAGTCTATGTTTCAACTTTACCACGGAATTGCCAAGATGAGGATGGCATATTGTGTGATAAAATATCATAAAAACATACACTAAACTACATCTAATAATACGGAGTGAGTTTACATAAAATGATTGTTGTGTTAAGGGCCTGTTTTTGAAAATGGATCACATTCATGCATTATATGCTATTTTCTCATTTGCAATGGGATTGACCTTTTTAAAGGCAGTCTAGTAAAAAAAATAATAATTAAATAGGAAACGCGGGTCAATATGAATGGAGCAAGGTGTTACGCTCACAGCTGGAAAAAAGTGCAATAATTTAAAAGACAATATACATGTATCAGTCGCATCGTTAAATCAAACGCCGTGTCTCCCAGGGCCGTGGCATAATAACATAAAGGAAAAATGTCAGAAAATGCCTTTTGAGCAAGCGTGGAGCGATTTCGCCGGAGCAACAGGAAAATTAAGGTGACTGCGGAGCGGATTTTGAGCGGCGGAGCAAATGAGCGAACATCCTCCTGAGCAGGGAGCGGGAATTGCGCGGCGCTCTGCTACGTTAATAAAGAGAAAGTGACCAAGCATACTGATATGAAAGTTATGCTCAAGTAGGCTGTTAAATAGGCTAAATACTCCACGCTAAAAATGGGTCACATTGCACCCAAAAACAACGTAAAATACTTTATGCAAATCATCCAAATGCAACCTGGACCCATTTGATTTTCTTTTCAATTATTATGTGAAATTTTCATTTAAATTATAACTTGAAGGCTGCTTTGTAAATGTGTCTTGCCTGAATGTCTGCGTGTTATTCCCAAGGGGAACTCCCACAGACAGGCAGCCTCAAACCTGAATATTATTATAGTGTACTCAGAGTCTCACTTAACTGTTCAGTGAGAAAGTACCAGCTATCTTATCGCTTCCCAGGCGATAGCTGGATGCGACACACACTGATAGCTCAGCCAGTTGCTGCTCTGTCCCCCTAACAGGTGTGCAGTTGGAGAAGAACATGCGAGGCGCCCAACTAGACAGTGTTTTTTGTTTTCATAAAGTTAGATGGCTAACAAACTTTTTTTTCCCCCAACATACCATATCGGTGTGAGAAGTAAAAGCATTTGTTATGAGAACTGTAGGAATGGGAACGCTGGACTATGAGGTTTAAAACATGAGCGCAGACTCCATGCAAGTACGCGGGGACCTTTACTCTGAATCTTTAAGAGAATTAAGATAATCAAAAACAAAGGTTATATGTAAATTGTGTGGATTTACTTAGGATTTACTATTACACAGTAGTTTAATTTTTTTTCATGTTACGTAAGCTGCTTTATTCATTTTCTATCCAATCTTATATGGTAAAAACTTAAACCGAAAAGATCACCAAACGTCCCAGAACATTAAAGTAGCTTTGTATTGTGTTTCAATACATTTCAGTGAGTTTAACATATCATAAAAGAGTTATTGAAGTCAATATGAAAGAATTCATAAAGGGGTTGAAGAGGGAACCCATGCAAAGATGAATAGCAGCAAGAAAAAAGGAGAACCAGATATAAGACATGCTTTTTAAGTAAACATTATGAAAAAATATAGCTCACCCTTTTCTTTTATCAAGGCACTTGTTCAACATGAATATAAATATGAGGCCAACTGTGAAGAAAAGAATTACTTTTTTAATCATTTTCCTTTAATCCCAGCAAGTAGTGATATTATTTCCAAAGGCATTTGAAATTCATGTTACCTATCGTGACAAGGATCACACTGACTATAACAGGTAAATGTCCTGTAAAAAAGCAAATACATTTTTTAAAAGACCAACAAATGACAACAGGTTTTGAGATCATATGCAGGCTTGAAAACAAATACTCACTGTTGCTCTTATTTACATTTATAGTCTGAAGATTCTGGTCTGCAAGTACATATCAATAAAGTTAATGAGGTTATATTAAACACTAAAGATCAGAGGGCTGTTTCACAAAATCAAGATAACAGATTAAGCTGGGACTTTCCCAGATATTCTGGCTTAATTAAGCCCTTACTTTTTCACAAAAGCAGAAACACATACGTTCTTATGGTGTCTTATTAGAATTATACACAGTGTTATGATTTGGACTAACTAACATAGAGTTTTATTTTAACTACTTTGGAATGAATTATTTTTACTTAACTAAAGGAACAAAAAGGAGGGAACTCTATATACTTTCTATCACTGCCAGGGCATTTAAATTTAAGTGGAGCTCAGATAAAAGCCTCTTTGCTGTCTTTCCCTCATGATGATTTGCACGGTTTAAAGTACACCTCCACTTTACGTCTTACTGGTGGAATATAAGGGGTTAACTGGAGTTTACCATTAGATCTACTAGTCTGAAAGTTTTACGGCTTACTGTGCTGTGCTGTTTGCTACCAGCTTCCCCAATACACCACATGCATCAGTCCCCCTCTCTAGTCCCTGGCAACTCTTATAAGCCATCTTCTCCATTGTATAATGTTTAAGGCATGCATTGTAAATTTTTGGGTTATGAATAAGGCAAGCTGACGGCCTTGGACTGAAAAGATGTTCCGGTCTTTTCCAGATGGACACATTTCAGTATGGCTCTGTAGTTGTTTTGGTTTCTTTTGACTTGTTGTGTTAGTGGAGGTGGCAGGCAGTGACAAGTCTATTAATGTGCCTGGGTAAAACTGTATTAAACTATACCAAACAACAACCACACAAACACATTGTTTAGCAAAGGAGAGCCAGCAGCTTAGGGCAAGAGTCAGGTATAAACTTGCAACTCAAAAACAAAGGACACACCTTCCACGACTAAAATGCTCACATAATGGACAAAGAAGTCTGAAGGTTTCAAACAGGGGTAAAGAAAGACATATTTGGTAAAAGAGAAAAGCAATCACTGAATAGACGGGGAAATATTGCAGTTTCAGCTAGTAAGCATCTTCAGTTAGGTTACACTAAAACACTCATCACGATTCAAATGACCTAGCACATAAACCCTACAAATCAAAAAAAATCCAACAACTAGGAGAGCTTCATCAGCATAGATGGATGGTGATTCCATGGTCCTTAAAGGTATTGTGGAGGATTTTCACGAATTAAAAAAAAAAAACTACTACACTACACTACACAAAAAAAACCCTGTACCGGCTCCCAAGAGGGAACGCCTATTAATCGCACAAGCCCATTTCTCCTCGTGCACACACTGTTTAAAAGTTGCTGTTTGCATCGCTCATACAAGCTTACTTTCCAAAATAAGATTTGCAGGTTAAGGTTTTAGGTAAGTGAAAATGGGGATGAGCACATAGGATGGCCTTACGTAAAAATATCACCAGAATGATTGACAATTAGGACGACCACTTATTTTCATGATCCACCCGTATGAAGAACATCCTCCACCTTTAGAAAACATTGGCACTCCAGCTACCAATTGCTGTAGAGCAAGCTGAGAGAATTGAAGAAGGCGTCTGGGTGTTTTTTTAGGAAAACCAAGCAAAGGGCTGGTTTCCTCTGATTTAAGCCTGTTTTGCAGTTGCATGACATGGATGACTGAACATTTGCATATGCATGCACCAGTGCTGGCACTCACTTTGTCTGCAGTCTTACATTCACTTTTGCCAGCAAGGGCAACAACAGTGTAGATTCTAGGTGGAGAAAGAGTTGGTAGGATCATACTAAGTTTGGGGGGGATTACATTACAAATATATCACAGATGATTAAATATGCTATAATTTAGATTGGCAGTAAAAAATTAGAGTAAAAATCAGCAAGCTATACAGAAACATGTTTGGAAATCACAGTTATATGATTTATTTTGTACGGGGCAGGGGTTACTTTCTGATACAGGACTCCCTAATGTTATTGGTGTATTGGCTTGTAGACATTACAATGAAATGCCCCCCTTGGTGCACATGAAGGTGATTTTGATTTAACAGAAGTCTTTCATTGTATTGCTGCTGAGGTAGAAGTAAGTTACGGTTAGGCCTGTCAAAAACATGCATTTATTATGTGCAATATAAGACCTGGACACATCTTATTGCTTCAGATGATCTGTGATGCTGACTCCATCCTCAGCAACATCAAGGCAAAGTGGTCTGGATCAGTCCAGTATGTTAAAAAATACTTTTATTGAACAGCAACAGAATAGAGAGCTTTTAACTTAATACTCTGAGCTCTGTGAGGGCTACATTGAAAGCTGCTGCTGCAGCAGTGCATGCTGGGACAGCTGTCAATCTCAAGAAAGAGAAGTCTGCTCTTATGCATACTCCGTGAAGAGGGAGGGGCGAGAACAACATCCAGGGTCCATTCTCTGTCTGCTGTTCTTATGAATTGGAACAGTTCTAGGGTTGAGGCTGAAGACGTTTTTCATACGAGAACGCACAAGTAGGACATATTGAGAAACGGCTATTGACTGACTCAAACCCCAAACAATATGGATACCAAAATAGTTCAATGCTCAATATCTTCTGATTAACATTTACAGCACTTGCTTTTTATGTATTTAATTTTGATAGCTGGAAAAAATATCGCAATATATAGTCATATTGCAAAATTGCAATAATACTGCATTGTATTGTGACACGTGTCATATCACAACACCGATGCCAATATTCTTCATCAAGTCCTTTTTGGTTCAGTCATTTAAGTTGTGTGAATGTTACTAAAATGTGTATTAAAAAACCCAAAACAAAAGATTATAATTATAAGCCATATTTGAACCCTGGTTCCCTGTATTCAAGTAAAAAACCAGAACAACATTACCAAAGAGGGTCTGTGTGGGATTTCAAAAAAGTAGTAGACATCTATCAGCTGTCAAATTCACACATTACTAAATTAGCTTTGATTTATTTAGGTTTATGGCTGTTCATGTGAGGAAATGATGATAATGACAATTGTCAATTAAGAGAAGTAGTTTAATTTAGACTATTTAGGCCTTCAGTCGATCCATTTCTGTTATCTACATATTTCTGTGATCGACATCATGATTTCATGAACAAAGCTTCAGGCACACATTTATCTAGATTACTTTAACCTGGCTTGACTTAGCAGCACTTGTTGAGCATAGACTGGCCTTTGTGATGAAGCCAGGATGCACTGTTCACACTAGGTCTGCCTGGCTTTATCTCTTATTTTAGATTTTTAAACTCTGCTTTTGTGAAATAGCACTTAGATTTAGTATTTTTGAATAAACATCCTAAAACATGCACAACCCTTAAGAAAATCTAAAATGACTATTTCTGACACAAATGAAATGTAACTTAAGTTTTACCATAAAAAAAAAAATTAAAAAATAAAGAAAAAAACACCACAAGCTGAACAGCTTAGTAACTATATATCATTTTAAGTTCCCTCCCAATAAATAAAACAATTTCTACCATAAGGCCTCCTTTTTCAAAACAATTTTAAGGAAAAGTGAACCAAACATTTGTGGTAGCAAATACTATGGCAAAGACTTATTGTGCTGTTTCCCACATCTTATATGAGGATCAATATTCTTCACATTTAAAGTTTTGATGTGTTCTTTTTTTTGTCCACTAACTTATATCAACCTTGAAGACATTTAGCAACTGTTTTTAAAAACAAACATGTAAAACCATTATGAACTATCTATTAATAGTCTGCAATATTTTCTACTACAAGCAGATGTACAGTACTAAATAGAGAATTTTCTTTCACTAGGGGATCATAAACTTTTCTGCTTTTTAACTAATTAATTGAATTTAATTAATTCATTTAATTAAAGCAGAACCACAACCAGTGGAAATAGAGTATGATAAAATGCCTTTAGTCAATAATAGTCACTCAAAGCTCATTATATATGATAATGTGATATATCAATATTTATTCTACAATCCACTAAAAATACATTATTTAAAAAGAGATAAACTAAAATACAACTGTTAGGAGGGTATAAAAGAAACTGGTTAATTACTTAGTTAATTGGCAAAGGGATGGGCTGACCCTAAGCAAGAGAAATAGGCTAACACAAATACACACTTAAAAAACTTTAACTGCAAAAACAAAATGTAATATAAACCAAAACTTGCTGACCATCTTGAAATAAAAAGAAATTTAGAAGGTGTCTTAATGAAATGAAAGGAAAGGTTATATACCTTTATAAACAGAGGATGTAGAATACGGTAAAATGGTTGTACCAGCTGTTCTCTTGGGTAGCGATGATCTGTTATCTTTAAATGACATAGTTAGATTAATCCTTCTTTATTTCCTCAGTTATAAAAAAAAATAAAATTAAACAACGATTGTTCAATAATTCAAAGTAATGAACGGTAACATGCATTTATCATTAGAGAGCATGTCTGTACCTTGTTTCTGTGTGGAGCTACGCATTGATGCCAAAGTTGTGACGGGTTTGGGTCTTGGAGTCGAGGTCGAAACTTAAGAAGAGAAGGATTTGGTGACAGAAAAAAAAAATTACTTTACCTCTCTTTATTGAAAGGGGTAGACTTAAAATAGAAATACAGTGTTTGTCCCTTGAAGATTTCTGCTTTTGTTGCATTTAAGCCATGTTTTAGAAACTGAGTGCAATAAAAGGGAAACATGATCGGAGTAAACAAAAAGCTATTTAAATATATATCTGTTAGGGGCAAAAATCTTTTTTTTTTAAACAAATTGTCTCTTTCAATAACGACTGCCTCTTTTTCTGTCTCCATTTGCAGCAAAATTTGCATTTTAAACGTCTTTGGAAGAACATACCCAGTAACACTAAAGTATTTCAATTGGGTTAAGGGGAGTCCTTTGACTATGGGAATCTAGAACCTTGATTTACCTTTTATAGCCACTTAGACATAAACTTTTTTGAGTTCTTTAGAGCTTTTCCTGCTGCTGAACTAAAAATGATTTGACCTTAAAGTCATAAACTGATGGTTGGTCCATTATACAAGCCCCATGGCAGATACAACAGAACACAAATATCTTCTATTTTCATCCTATTAGGTTCTGTAACCATAACGATTTTTACTTAGTAAAAGTAAGACCTGATTTTTACATTAAATTATTCGTGTTCTTCTGGAATTTCTCCATGTTTATAACAATTCTTATCTTTATTGATGAATCTTGAATGTTGATCTAGTGAAGCAAGTTACAAGTTCACAAGAATAGTAAAAGCTTGGAAAAAGCTTTATAGCACTTTTTAAAACTGACAGACGTTATAATTCGTTCTCTAATTTCTTTAAATTTGATCATATGTTACTTTTCGAGATATTTTAATCTAGTCCATCCTGTCAGGTAGTTTCGAATTGAATGACGTCTTGATCCTTCATATCTTGGCATCAATCAAGCCATGGTAAGAAAGGGGAAACTTTAATAAAATATGATAAATTAAGATAGTTTAATTATCTCAAAAATCTCATAAATTAATTTCCCCCATTGGGCCAGGTAGATTCTGATTATTATCTTTCCTTAAAAAAAGAAAATATCATATGGAAATGTCTTTTTTTTTAACCTGGCGCTACTTATCTTTAACTAATACTTAAAAAGTATTCAATGATGTTAAACATTTAGGTGTTAAACTAATCCTTCAGGGGGGAAATAATTTTTTCATAGCTCTTTATATACTGTAGCTCCTCTTTTTATTTACATGTGAATGTGTAAGAAAGCAAAATATTGGTTAGACATTGAACTTTGACACAATTTGTATACCTTGTTTTGTTGTTGCAGCAGAAGATGTAATAATTTTTGTTGTAATACTGTCTTCTGTGGTCACACCTATGAATGAGGATTTAACTTAAGATCATCCTGAATACATTTCTTTGGCCTTTTATATAGACTGAATGTTGGGCAGCAGCATGCAACTAAATCTGACATGATGGTGGGCTTTATTTATGACTGACAGCCATGCATTTATGAGTAAGTTTAATTCTCATTGTGAGTGAAAAGAGAACATTATGAAGGATCATCTATTAATGTTAAACGCTCTTGTGTTAAACTGCTCCTCTGTACTTAAATGATGTGTTAGCAAAATACATGTTGACAAATGACCAACAGTTTAGGGGTAAAGTATCTATTATATCCAAGTATTCAGAAGTGGTTTAGGAAGAAATGGATGGTTAATAAAGAACCCACAGTGGGCAAGCTCAGGCTTAAATAACAAAAACTTAATATTTGTGTAATTCTTTACACTTTGAACATAGAAGCTGTTTTTTATATATCAGGTTTCGATGGTGATGGCAAGTTATGTTATAAAGTATTTGGACTTTCTTCAATGTAACAAAATAGACTTAACATTTTAGATGATGAATTGGATTACAAGAGAGAAAACCAAAGGTAAATGGACTGTTGATGCCAGTTTACAACATGTTCGGACACAACGTCTGTAAACCGAGGAGACATTCCAAAAAGAACTTACAAGGAATAAACTGCATTCCATTCAGCCACTATGTTGACCACTTTTCAAGGCTCAAAGTAAACAAACTTAGAAATCCTTGAAGTGGTCTTGTATGGAACACAATCACAATTCTTAGCCTTGCTTTATTACTGTGTAGAGACATTATTGCATGAAATAAAAGTCTTGACTGGCAGTTTTACTACTTGTTAAGATGAAAAGATGTTTGCGTCTTTTAAGGAAAAAATGGATTGATATTAATTCAAATTTTTGATTTTTCTGATCATTTTGGAACCCTAATAAATGCAGTTTAAAGAGTTTTATTACAAACAACAAAATCATTCAAACTGAACTGTTAGTGCAGGTGAGGTTAAATTTAATAGTCTAGATGGAACATTAATATTTTTTTAAGGTAGTGAAATAAATGGCTGGAAAAGTTACTTTAAAGATGATTTGTGTTATTTGCAAATGTATTATCAAAAAGTTAGTATGTATTTTGTCTGGCAAATCTTCTAGGAAGCCTAAAAAAAACATCAAAAGTGCTTACCAATGCATGTTGGAGGCAAGGGATCATATTTCCCGGTTTTGGAGCACATAATGCGTTCACTCCCATTTAACCTGTATCCTGGGTTACAAGTGAAGTTTATAATTTGACCATATTCTGGTTTTTTGTCAGATTCCCAAGAAATTGTTCCATTTTCCACTTCGGTTGGTATGGGACAAGTAACAACTAGGAAAGTTAGAAAAGAATATTGCAGTTAGATATCAGAAAAGTTATACCGTATTTTCACGACTATAAGGCGCATATAAGCATCTTTTTTTCCCCCTCAAAATGTGCAGTGAGCCCTATAGTGCGGTGCGCCCTATGTGTGTTGTTACTGCGGACGTTGTTGAGACCACCATGAGAACGTTAAAGGGGGAAGTGTGGGCGTGGATTGTGTATAAAAGAACAGGTATGTGCTTTATGCAGAACTCCTCATCTCCTCATTGAGGGAGGTGTATGTAAGGAGACCAGGTGGTTTTTTCCATGCATCACCATCGCTGTAAATCTGTCACTCCATGCTTGCCCATCTCACAGCCGATGTGAAACACATGGTGAAACAAATGACCGCTGTGCTGACAAAGGAACTTCAACCGCTCGACATCGGTGTGAACTGGTCGTTCAAAGTAGTGCTACATTCAACCGTCTGCTGCTTCATTTTTGCTGCTTGTACCAGTTAGTTTTGACGCGCGGCTGAAGCAGCTTTGCTGCTCTGGCTGCGCGGTGCAAAAGTGTGTCTGACACGCGTTGGGCGGAGCTACTCTATCCTTTCTTGGCCTTGCAGCTATATTTGCTGTGATCAGTGGGAATAAAGTAGTTTTAATATGTTTTTAAGTGAGAAAGTCCACCTGAAAACTTAATCATTGCAGTCAGTTCATCCAGATTACAATCCCACCTTCCAATATTATTTCTGTCGGAGCCGCTCAGACCCCCACATACCAGCGGTGCACTGTCAGTAGGAATCCCATTCAACAGCAGCCTCTGGCCGGGTCGCCTCCTCGCGGTTCACCGCGGCAGCTGGTAGGTGTTTTTCATCTAAATAATCTAACCTGCAGGCACCAGGATAATAAAAGCGAACATATTCTGCCAGCAGATTTTTGCATTTTAAGTTAACTTATGCGTCAATAAACTGTTTCAGAGGAGTGATCACAGCGCTCTGTGTCATCAGCGATGTGTCTGTCTCACGGCCAGCTCCCAGGTTTGATTAATACTTTGTAATAAATACATGAATAAAGCACAATCATACTCAGTTTTGCTCCCGCTCTATTTTCAAATACGCAGTAGAGGTATTTAAACGTAGTAGAGGATATGTACCTGTATATAAAAAACGCACCCTATAGCCCGGTGCGCCTTATGTGTTTGTTAAATACAGTAATGGCACACATAACTGAGACTGTGCCTTTTAGTACGGTGCGCCTTATGGTCATAAAAATACGGTAGGTAAGACAAGAAAAAAACAACTAGTTGAAGCATAACACTTACTGTTACATGATCCCCTTCCAAACCATCCAGAAGCATAGCAATGTCTAAAGCTAGATCCAGAAATACGGTACCTGCATAAAGACAAAAGTAATCAAGTAAGAAGGTTTACTGGCACAAAAAAGGGTGTATGCACCCCTTTTAAAATTCACAATACAATGTGCCTAAATACATTTTACACTGTATTTAGTGCACATATAAACACAATTTTATTGTACTTTAGGTTTTAAGAGTGCAGAAAAGATTAATTTCACCTCTCCAGGTGCTGCGGAGAGATATTTATATTCTATCAGGGTTCAATTTTTCAATCTGCTTTTCCTACTAAATTTTTTGAGCAATAACATCACAGTATCTGCTGGGGAGCTGCTAAACAAGGAACTCTGACTTACCCACTTCGTAAAACCACCATATTTTATTTCCCTCAGCGTCCAATTCTAAGCTCAAGGATGCCGAGGCTCGAGTCGATAAGACAAAATGTTTGGTCGTTGGGTGTACTGACACAATTCATGACACTGTCTACCAGTTCCAAGGCCCCTAGATAATTTTATCTCTGCTATCAAATGACAAAAATGTCTAACTGGGGTGGGGCAATACTCTGTGACCTCAGGCTGCAGCCACAAAAAGTAGAATATGGTATCCACACAGAAGACTTCCCTGTAGAAAGAGCAGCGTAGCTGTAATAGGCTTTCTAATGTCACACAAGTTGGTAGCACACTAGCATTTCCACACATGTAAAGAAGGTAGAATAATAAAAGGAGAAGCAGGACGTGAACAATCGATGCTAGAAAAGAGAGGTTTGTGTGAACCTGTGGAAGAGGAGCATTATGGTAGTAAGTGTAAAAATCTACCATAAATTCCAACAATCATTTTAGCTTCCACCGCCTTCAGTACAGCGTCCGCACAGAGGAAAATTGGCAACTACAAGGACATCTGGTGGAAGTAGTGGACGAGCAACAACTACGACCAGTGAGGGTTCGCAAATAAACTTCTAGAGACATCTTCTGATTTAGCCCGCGTATATCAAAAGATCGTGAAAACTCTTGTAAAGAAATTACTTTCACTTTTCAAGAAATTGGATATATAAATAAAAAAAGCTGTGTTTTCTACTTCCTCATTTAGCATGGTGTTGTTAGCTTGCAGATTGTGCTGTACACACAGCACAAACAGTGCAGTGTGTCTCATTATCCGTTCAGAGGTTAGGTGCGTCAAACATGCCCACATGCACAAACATGGCAGGTTGTGGACGGTTATGCAGATAGGGGTATTGTGACAGACACACTGTCTGGGAGCTGTTTTCAAATGTGGTCAATTTTGTGGCCCCTTCGTCTGGGACCCCTACAACCAAAAAGGTTAGTGTATACATCTAAACTAGGCCTTGCCTGGACAAAATGTCAGACCTACCTCAAAACAGGGATAAATGAGGGGCGAGTTGCAACAATAACCGGGAATTAAGCCAGTTTCACTTTCTGTAGACAACTACATTTTTCAAATATTTGAAGGAAGGATTGCGAAGGGTTAAGGGCGCCTATATTTAGCACTCATGGGAAATAGTCAGGGAATTCTCTGAACTGGTCACCAATCAATCACAGAATATGTCCCATTGGATAGACAATATTGAAAAGACAAAAAACATTCCCTTTTTTTTTATTTTAACAATTTTTTAACAAAAATAATTACTGCTCTAAGTGGTTCTCTCTGTCACCTAAAGGCATGTTTTATAGTCTCTATGCTACATTTAATGATTAATCTATTAATAAAATAGTTATTTAAGATCAATCCAATTAATTGTTTCACCCTTGTATAATGGATTTGCTTTGGGCTTGTAGATCATTTTACTGTTAATCCAAAAAAATGGAAAAAACAAAAACAAACAACTAACTCAACAGCCACAAATTGATCTAAACAAAGTTAAATTCCACAAATATAAACAGCTGTATATATCCTGGGGCCTGTTTCAGAAAGGAAGTTAAGTGAAAACTCTGAGTTTGTTAACCCTGAAATGAGGGAAACTCTGGGTTTTCTGTTTCAGAAAGGGAGGTAAGTTAAACCTGAGAAAGCAGAGTAAGTCAAGCCCGTTTCTGAAAGAGAGGTAACTTATACTCAGAGTCAGTTACCATGGCAATTTACTCTGTGAACCTAACCTGGTCGGGAGCAGGTTTTCTTTAGAAAATCCAGAGTTTATTTTGGTCTCCTCCCCTTTTTTAAAGAGGAAGTGGTGTTTAAACACCTCATTGATTCTTTGGGGACATACAGTATTCATTGCACACATTTCAGTCACGTAGAGCGCATCAAAGGGAATGAAATGGCATGTCCTTTTATGGATGATCCTGTTTGTAAAGCCAGGTAGCTACTCTACTCCCATGATGTGCTCAAGGCTTACCTGCTTGAAGTATGTTTTTATATTTCATTTTCAGCTGCTGCCATGTTCTTTTGATGCCTGCAGGATTGCACCTATCCATGAAAACTAAATTAGGTTTAATAAAATACTGTTCTTCCAGTTTCACCTCTGATATTATAACAGTTGGGTAAGTTAATCTAAAATAGTTCTTAATTACTAACTACAAATTTTATCTTCAACAAGTCTAATTAGATTATGTAATAATTACTGTCTCTAGAAAGTATTGGTCTACTTACTAATTTGTTTTACTTACTTATTAATTACTTTCTAAATCCCAAATCAACCTCAACCACTTGAACAATACAAGGAGAGACAAGAAACTGCACTTCTAATGCTTTCAAATAAACAATATTCAATTGCATGAATTAATCTTAAATTGACCAAAGTGTGTAACTAGAGGGAGAAAGTTCAAATCAAAAAATACCTTTTAAAATTTTGATATTAAATCCACTATTTTTTTTATAGTCTTTAATTTAATTACAGTATTTATATGACTTAAGAAACTTAATTCATTACACCCAACACTGTATAAAAGTAATTAAAATGTAAACTTACGCATTGACTCGAGCAGCTATTTTCACCCAAGCTAACTCTCTCTCCTTCGCCGCTGCAGCCTTGTTGCTTTTTTTTTTAAATACATGTTCAAATTCTGCATATGCTTGCATAAGCACATCCAGTTCTGCTGGTGAGAAATATGCACACCTTTTTTTGTCTGATGCTGTTGCCATGGTGACTCGTAATATCTGTGCTCCATTGATAATGGCTTTTTATAGTTGTGGTGCACGCGCTTAACTCAGAGTCAGTCAATTTAGAGTTGATTGAACTAACTCATTTCAGCTGTTCTGAAACCCAAAACTCAGAGTTTCCAATCTCAAGATAAGTCAATACAGAGTTCAAGTTTTAACTCAGAGTTGGTTGAACTTCCTTATTGAAACAGGCCCCTGGAGGACAAGGAAGCCATATTTTAAGTATTTTTAAAGTAATATCTTTTTCAATTTGATATTTATCAACTTTAATATCTAGCCTTTTTTTCAACTGTACTGTAGGTACAGTTCCAGTTGGATAACTTGCCAGTGGGAATTGACTGAGCCGCTTCGCTGGTAGGAGATAAATGCTGGTATTGTAGCAATAAACAATAACAGGCGTCAGAACTGAACGTGACAATATTAGTGTCTCATGACACGTTGCAGCTTATCAAATCAAACACTTGATTTTGTGAGATAGCAGCATGGCATTTAAGAAATTAGCTATGGAACAAGAATGTGTGGGATCATACATACCCTTCTTCACACAAGGTTCTAACTTTTGAACCAAACAGAGTACCCTCACTGTCATCAAAAGTCATGTGCGGCTCTGGAGGAGGGGGGCCACAGTCCTTCTCTGTGATTTGAAGAAAAGAAAAATAAATATCAATACAGAAGATAGAATAAATCAAGATGATGACATAAAGCATTTTGGGTGGCTTTAAAATGGAAGTTAGAAGGAACTCACTCTTGCAGACGATGTCGGATTCGCTCCATTTGCCATTAATGCAGTTTATGGTCACAGAGCCATTTTTTTTTTCATATCCATTGTCACATTCTAAAGTTGCCTCAGAACCCTCTGGGAAATCATTTTTTAGGAGGGTTTCTTCTGTGAGAATCCAATTCTCTCCAACTTCAGGTCTCAGGCATTGAGCTAAGAGAAAATAAGATACATATATATATAAACTGTTGTTGTTGTTGTTGTTGTTTTTTAATAAGAGCTTCTATAGAAGAGTAAAAAAGGATCAAAAATTTTATATTTTGTTTTAACAAAAAAAAGTATTGAGACAGCTCTTATTACTGTGTGCATACACTCTATGTGGGCATTGCATATGGAGGAGTGTTGGCCTAGTGGTTAGAGCAGTGCGCTTGTGCCCTGAGAAGGTTGCGAATTCCAAGTTTGATTCCCACAGACTGCCACTCTGGGTCTCTGAGCAAGACCCTCAACCCCACACTGCTCCCCAGGAGTCACACAATGGCAGCCCACTGCTCCCCAAGGGAATGGGTTAAAATGCAGTTAGTAAATGAAGTTAACTTCTCCATTGTGAGATCAATAAAGTTCAATTTAAATGTCTATTTCTACTTTAGAATTATAGAATTATTTGCTTATTGACTTTACAAGCTTTACAAGCATAATGTCATCATATGGCAGGACATTATAATATTATAATATTTGTATTAATACTATTATCAAAATATATTTTTAAGTTTTTGGATTCAACTTAAGTAGTTTTTCAGATGTTTTTCATTCTAATCTTTATTTATCCTTTTGTTTTTCAAACAGCAGGTTTTTCTATGTGCCTTATGTCTTCTGAGTCACATTTCCATTATGTTTAATTATAATACTAATTAATTCAATAAAAAAAAAAACTAAAACTTCAGGTTCAAGTTTCTCTTTTTCTATTTAGCTTCATGGATGAAGAGCTGATCTCGCTTATAAAGCAGCAGTAAATGCGCTCAATCAAATCCTTGGTTTCGCTGTAATACTGACCTGCAGCACTAAAGACAAAGAGGTGGAGCAGCAGGGCCAACCTGCATGTTTCCCGTCTGCTGATGTCCAGTAAAGCCTCCATGGCAACTCTTAGAAAACCTCTGGAAGTATCCGGTTGAAGCGCAGGTCAACAACTAAAGAGTAAAAGCACAAGTGTGAAGACGATCCCCAGACTATCAACGATTCTCCTCCCACTGACGCTTTAATTCTCCACTGGTCAAGTTAACGCGTTTACAGAATACATACTGATTTCAAAATAAAAGCATAGATTCTATTATAGAAGTGTATATTAATATGGTTAGTTTTTTTTCCCAACTTAATTGATCAATTAAACAACCATTTCTTCCGTAACTAATAACCCATATATGTTTATTGACACAGTGCCCCCCCTTACTTGATTTTAAATATGGGCAAGTCACATTATTTTGAAATATAAACCTACATTTGGACACATTTCGAGTTTTTTCCCCATGCTTTTAAAGGGACGTTTTTATCATCTGTTTTTACTCTATCAATAAAACAAAATAAATAAAAACAATAGTGTGAAGAATCAAATCAATAAAAAACAAGAGAAATAAAGAGATTTCATTAGTACTAAACTTTCCTCACCACTCAGCCCCACATGTGCCTCCAGTGAACTTTACTCCAAATGCTGTAACAGGAAAAAAAGTGGAAATCCATTGGGTGTGACCTGTCATTTATTAACTGAAAGATTTTTATTATGAGCTGCTCTTGACATGTCTGCGTGTTGACAGAGATAATATCACAATAGTTAAATCATTATTGCTTTATTATTGATTTTGGACAGAAATGTATTTTTAATGTATCCACCCTCCCTTTTCTCTTTGAACCAAAACAATTAGAGTGACTCACTGTCTGTAGTTTTGTGATATTGTTATGGATACAGCAGATTTTTTTCCTTTTCTTTTTAAAGGGGATAGTGCCTCATTACACACACTTGTACAGGAACACACAAACATTCCAATGAATCCAGCACCCGCTTTAAACCACAACTGCTTTGACAGGGGTAATTTTTCCCCTCCACCCTCTGTTACCAGAGGAACCCTTACATAAATCCTAGAGTAACCAAGCAACAATGCATTCTGGCCTCTTGCATACACTTTAAATGATACTATTTTTCCAAAACAGCACCAAAACAGGTTTTATGTCTGTTTTTTATCTAATGTGTAATGTATAATTCTAAAAATGTGTAGAGCTAGTCTAAAGTTTAAATAGCTTGAACTCTGGTTTAGAAGTTGAAAAGATATGAGGTCAAGCAAGAAAAATGGGACCTGTAACAAACACTGAGCACTTTCTTCCATTTTTAGGTGCTGATATAGCAGCATAAGTATGAGCAGGTTGAGTTGGTCCAAGGCGGGCTTTTCTTATCTTTCTGAACAGCCTGTCCAAGTGAAGCTTGAAGATACCTCCCTTTCCCAACAACTTACTAAAATGCAGCCATCTCCCCTTGCCAATAGTGAGGAAAGATGTTTCCAGAGTAGGCTATTGATATCTGGTTGCTTAATTCGCATGTTTTTAAGACACATCACATAAGTAACATGCACATCTAACTTAATAAACACAACTTTTCTACACCTCCCTTGTATTTTTTATTTGCAAAATGCTACATTAAAAGCTCTGTTTTTCAGATAACCATTTTTTGCTAATGCATTTTCCACAAAACAGGATAAAAAGGAAGGAATTAGAATACAAATATTACTGTGGCTGCATTCCTTTTTATCTGGGAAAACAAAAACAAGGAATGCCAAATATTTAAATGGTCTTCTTTCCATAAATGATTGTATTATTACTGTGATGTATTTCAAAAAATATTAAGGGTAGTAGCCTATCAACAAGAAACTTAAAGCCAGGAAAAACAAATGAATAAATAGGTGCAAGGTTCAAAGGCAGCCTCAGGTTTTCCTTCCCCAAGGCTCATACACTAAACTCTTCATGGAAGTTGGCGACATCTGGAGCTGAAAAAGATAAATTGCGTGATGAAAAAAAAAATGAAAATATGCCAAAAGCCTTTCAAAATATGATGTTAAAAAGGAAAAATAGTAAAAAATTTAAGCCAGCAGTATCTTACACGCATGGAAAACAATTGTTGGTAAACAGGGTTTGATCAAATGAAACCATTATTATGCATTATGTTTTCTGAGAAGTAAAAGGATATATCAGTAATGAGACATGATAAGCAACCTATATTTTCCATTTGTTTTAGGATCAAAATTTAGATTGACTTGAATTTTGCAATTGATGAATAAGTTTTGACTTCATACTTTCATTGAATAAATGCATTTTTTTTAAGGTAACTTTTAAAGAATAAAACTTAAATAGTTCTAATATGATAGAGGCTGAAAATTGAGAATTTTTTGTCTTGAATGCATCCCTGTAAATGAAACTTTACAAAAAGACTTCTACACAATGTTGAACTTGCATTGGAATACATTTATTTACAACATTTCAGTATTAGACCTTTATCAGATGAAGGAAAATGAAATTTAAAAGTAGTAAATGTTTTGGCATGAAATCTGAGGTCTAGTTTCTTGAAAAGATTGTTTCTTTTTTTATTTGGTTGGTGACGATGTATGTATTAACACATTGTAGGGTTCTGCCCTGCAAAGTGGTTGCATGTTTTAATGAACTTACTTTTTCCCACAAATTTTTTTTTTTGGATGTTGTTTTCCACTGACGTTTGATTCTGTGCAGCTGAAAGGATCTTTACTAGTATCTATTTAGTTTGGGACACTTGTTATGATGCATAACTATAGAAAGTTTCTTTTTCACAGCCAGGAAGAGCTAAATAACATTTCAAAATCTGAAGACATACAACATTTACATCTAACAACCAGATAAGTTGAAAGAAATGTGCAGACGATGCAGAGCAGGAGCAAGGAGAGAAAAGGGAAGGAGAAAATATCATTATATATTATGTGTGGGGCCTTCTGACTGAACAAGCAGGAAGATATTTATAGAAGGCTGGGAAAAAAATAAAAAATAAGAAGGCTGAAAAAAGCAGGGCAGGTAGATTCATTCAGAGTACATGCGAATAACACTTGGTTGCATCCAGGACATGTTACTGTAAAGTTTTGCCTCTACAGCCCAGACCTTCAACTGCTGGCAGTATATTTATGTCCATATTGTTTTGCAAAGGTTTTAATTCTACCTTTTGCCGTTACTGAATTCACGTGTGACATCGTCAATCCAGACATTGCTAAGCTACAGCCACAACAACCTAAGGGGCAAATTATGCTTGATGCATGTACAATCCCCTGTCACAACATCTGCAGTATTTATACTGTGTGCGTCTTTTTACTGGGGCGTGTTTAGCACAAGCTGCAACCTGATAACACCACACTCAAGGAAGTAGAAGACACAGCCGTTTGCAACTTTACCAAAGTCTCTTTGTACTTTCTAGTCATTTCTTTCCAGGACTCCTTCCACAGTCTGTTAATAGGGCTGATAGGAGCTAAATCAAATGACGTCTTACTTGCCATGTTTTCGATGCAGACTGTCTGCATTATACCTAATAGAACTCAACTGAAAAAAATTTTCTACTCCATTCTTTGCACCATATACATTTATTTATTTTGCACTGTTCTGAACATTCCATATCAATGCCTTTTTGCACCATGTCTCTCCCACACTGTTTACATTTAATCACTGCTACACTTTATGAATGAATATGTTCCTTTTATCTGCCAAGTTTCTGCTCATCCACTGTCTAAAAGCTGTATAAATGAAATTTTGCTTTGTATGCACTTTGTGTATACAAAATTACAATAGTATGTCTAAGTCTAATGTAATTTGGCGACATTTATGGCGACAAATTATTTCAGTCATGCCTTTTGCCTCGACTTTCTAATGTATTCTCACTGGCAGAACAAAGCTTTTGACTTGTTTTATGTAAATGTCAGGGTGGTATATATCTCTAAAGCAAGACCTCTGAGGAATTAGATCCAAATATTTGACTCTGCTCACATTATATGCCCCTTTATCAGAGGCAATGTACACTAAACATAACTGTAAAAAAAATGGACATAGGAAGCTAAACACAGCCGGCGAGGTTATTTTTAGACAGACTATGAGGCATTGTGCCAGCCACATGGACAGACATCAGTGCAATGACGGACTAAGTAAACTTCTGTCTAGATAACACCATCCCAACCTGAACAGTTAAATTCTTCACCAGTGACCTGAAGAGATTGCTGAACGAGAAAAAAAAGAGCATTCAGGGAAGGAGACTGGGAATTACCGGTACTGAGGATAACACAAAAGCAAATGAAGGTCTTCATAACAGAAGACAAGGATGTATACAGGAGGAAGCTGGACATCAAGGCTCTTCTTCAATAGGTTCAGTTAAGGAACAAGCTCATTATCCTCTCCTGATCACAGTCAAACAGACATCCAACACCCTTTTAAACCAAAGCTTAACTGTCACACGTTTCATATTGCACCTCTGCGTTTGTTCTCAACCAAATTATAGGCTGGTTTTGCTCCTTTTGCTTAGAAGTCAAGTGAAGAGTAAACTGGAGAGACTAAATCAAAATGATGCTCCAAGTCCAGATGTCCAGTGTCCTGATCGCCTGTGCAAAGCAGCCCTAGGGAATTCTATATCAGCACTTTTCAAACCATAACCTGACCCAGGAGACAGTTCCAGCGTTGAGGGGAAACCTCCTCCTTTGTTTGGTACCCAAGAAAACTTAACCAACAGTCCTCAGTGACTATAGACCTATTGCCCTGACATCCCACATCAGGAAGGTCCAAGAGACTTTTATCATAAACCAACATGACACAAAATTCTGAAAAATGTTTTAGTACACACATGCATTGGTACTGCACATCTTCAGACCATTTCTGTTAATCCATTTATCGTACTCTTCATCATGAATAAACATAAAAATTTTAAGGGTTAAACTCTGATTTGAGGAATTCAGACAGACCCTCAACCCAAATATTCCACATTTTGTGCAATAACAAAACCAGGCAGCTGTGAGGGAATGAAAGGAATTTAAATACCATTAGATGAGCTTCAAGCCAAAACTATCAATTTGCTATCGATTTTGTGTTCAAGGTTATATTTCAACTGTAGCTTGATCTCACATAGAGCTCACTGACTGTTCTTTCTTTTTATGAAATAACAACAAATTAAACCACTGTCCCCTGGATACCAACACACCAGCTGCAGGTGTGGTGACAGACAGCTCTGTAGTCAGTGCATGAAAATGTACTCTATAATTGCAGAGTTGCATAATATATAATAATGTAGCCTAATAAAATGGACAACTGCTTTTAAATAAGAAATGTAGTCATTTAGTGAAAGGCTAGATTTGAATAACAGCTGACTGAGTGCACAAGATTCCCAAGTCTCTGGAGCAGTTGTAAAATCTGGTCATACCTGATAGGAGATTAGAAATAGGAGAAAAATGGTGAAAGCAACATTTTTCCTAAATCACTCTTATGAATGATTTAAGAAGCGATTTGTTTATAAGAACGTTCTTGTATGAGGCCCAATCATCTTAATAATTTTGAACAAAAGTAGGGAGATGATCCAAGATTTCAGAAGAAACAAAAACAAGTGAATCACTATTACCACCATGGAAGAAACAGTAGAGGTTGCAGAGGAGGATAAATGCCTTGGTGTTCACTTGGACAACAGATTAGCTTGAGGACTCATCTGGAAAGCTGTCTACAAGAAGGGGCAGAGCATAAAAAGCATCTCATGGAAGCTTAGGTCTTGGTTTTTGCAGCACAATACCTCGTATGTTCTATGGTCCATCTCATACCCACATATAGACAAAAACTGAAGCTAGCTAAGCCTGTAGTTAGCACAACTAAGATCTGGACCAGTGAGGCTGTGGAGGAGCTCCGCACGTGTCTGGAAACCACAGACTGGGAGGTGTTGAGGGCTGCTACAGATAATCTGGACGAGTACACTGACATTGTGACCTCATACATACAGTACAATGAGGAGCGCATCCTACCAACGCGCACCAGGGTGCGTTATGCAAACGACAAGCCGTGGTTCACACCTAAGCTCGGCCAGATTCGACGAGAGAAGGAGGCAGCACGCAAGAGCGGGGACAGAGACAGCTACAAAGAGGTGAAATACAGGTTTAGCAGGGAGATGAGGAAGGCTAAGGCCCCGTCCACACGAAGACGAACCCTGGCCTAAACGCACAAATTTTTCACCAAACCAGCCTCTCATCCACACGAAGCCGGCGTTTCGGGGGTCTGTAAACGATCTTTTTTTTATTCAGCCTTCAGAGTGGGAAGATTTCGAAACGCCGTTTTCGCGTTTTCATCTTTCTGTTAATCCATTTAACACAAAAGCTTCTTTAGAGCCACTGTAAGACATATAGCTACAGGGATCCTGCCGTCTTTCAGCTATCAACATCTACAACAATTACTTGAAAAGAATCTGAAAGGGCTAAGACACCATTTCATTTGACCTTGGAATCAATAAGGTATTTTGGAAAGGAATTAAATGCAAACTAAAATATATTTCAATGTTGTTGTTTTTTTAATGAAAAAAATTATCACCTGGACCCATTAGTCTGAAATCTCAGTGGTCAACCAAATGTGATTTGCAGATGTTTTTGTGTAGAAAAAAGATTCAGAAGAAGGACACAGTAAATAATATTTTCGGTAAAGTTTTATTTTTAGTGCATGAACAGAATACTATGTCAAGGTCATAGCCTACCCCTTTCAATCCATTTTAAATATTTTCTCTTTTTTATTGTTTTTATACATAAAAAAATAACAGAGCAATTTTAATATACCTCTATTTTTCTCCCCAAAAGAGCACTCAGCAGGTTGGTATATAAAGGTGCTGTACAATGTACAAACATTTACATCTACTGGTCCTACAGAATGTAGAAGGTAGCACAAGGAATATTTTTTTCTAATGAACTGATGCAAGGCCACAGTATGATGTAGAGATGACAAAGAAAATGATCGGAACAGAATCAGCCAGTATAGGCGCAGACAGGCGCAGAAAGAGTGTTTTCCTTCTCAGGACCAGAGTGAGGAGTCTGTACCTGGTAGTCAGAGCTGGATTTACTCAAACACATTTACCAAACTATTGCACAAAACTCATAGTCTAAGCAGTACTGTAAACTGAAAACCGCTTCATACAATCAAAGTTTACCCTCCATTGGACTGTCTTTAACATTGCCTTTATCACATTTGCTACAACACTGTTCCCTGAGCTCATCTGAATTTTTTTATTAGTTATTTATTCTAATATCTCAGATTTTATTCTAACCTCTGATTTAATGTTTCTACATGCAACTCATTTCAAACCATTTTTCTTATACCTGCCTGCCTGCTTTACAACACAATATGCTGATGGCTTGTCTAAACACAAGCCTTGCATCAGCAGCATGGACAGTCTCTCAGTAAACAATACGTCACTCTGGCCTTTATCATCCTTCATGCTAGCCTGATGCACGACTGACCACACAGCAGGATAGACGGACAGCATACAGTAGTCAGCTTCTCAGTAGATAAACATAAACAACCAGGGACATAACTCAAATATGGTAAAGCTTTACATAAACTACCTTGAACCCTTTAGAAAACATGAAATGTAAATTTAAAATAAATAATGATACCAATACAACATAAAAAAAATGAACTGGTACTAAGTGAACATCAGTAGTTAAATACAGCTCTTTCTGTTATGCTACAGGGCATATGCAGTGCAATGGAATTCAATAGATATTTGTACATTTTGACACATTCAAATATTTATATATATATAACTATATGATATATTTCACAATGAGACACATTTTGAGAGATTGCAAACATTTGGTACAGCAGTTTGAATGTCTTGAACTACTATGAAAAGTCCAAGAGAAATCCTATCATTCAAGAACATTAGGAAACAGAAGAATGCTCCAGTAACTGGGACATTTTTCAAAACCCATAGTAAAACATGGGATGGTTTATTACATAAAAACACATGAATAAATATACCCTCCATTTGCGTTTGTGTATAATTTATTCTATTTTTTTTATAATGTATTATCTCAATGTATTATCTCAATATATTACAGCCTCTGTTATTTTACACATGGTAAACAAGATATGAAACCACAAGTTTCTGGTCTTTTTTTAATGATGCTGAAGGAGTGTCTTGACAAAATCCTCCGAAACAGTCAGAAGTAACCATTAGAGTAAACACTTTGACACCACTCTTTCAACTCACCCAGTGCTAAGAATGAGAATTATAAACTAGGAAGCGGTTTAACCTGGGTGATGTGCAGAACACGTGCAGTAAACAAAATCAAGGACTAACAGCATGCAGTTAAGCAAGCCTGTAAGTAAAAAAAAAAAAAAGTCTACATGTCTCCCAATGAGGCAAAATTAATCCTTTTGACAGCCATGTGGGAAGTTAACTACAAATCAAAGGCAGGGCCTCGCTCCTTTGTTTGCATAAGAGTCATTGCATTGCTATGGGTGGAAATTGTGGTCATTGTCCGACAGGAGACTCCCAGGATTGGCACATTTTCACATTTTAAGATGTCTAGTTCTGACAAGGCCCCGAGCGTGCCGCATGTGCTGAAGTTCCACACCGAAGATGCTGAAGCAGCAAACAAGGCAGAGGGAAGTGCTACATGTAAAATGTGATATCATTCTACTCCCAAAATATAAATCTGACCTCAACCTAAAGATGATTAAAATGGTCAGCATGTTGCACATCTCTATTCGTGGAAGATCTCTGAAAAAGAATGCTCTACTCTGTTGATATTGTGACGATTCAATGGCACAGTTTATGTCTAGGTGATTTAATGTTCTGTTACAGAGGGTCACGAAGGACTTCAGCTTTAGTAAGGATTTTGGCAGAGCTTGGTACTTTCCAAGGACCAGGGCCAAAAAATCCCTTTTGTCTCTGGGTGGTCCCTGGAATACTGTCTGTAGAGGCCACAAAGTCCTCTTTATTATGCTGTTTTTTGAATTTGGAGGATTTAGGTTCTCTTCCTTTTGTCTCCTGTGCTGAATCTACAGAGTCTTTTCTGCTCCACATATCTTTGAAAAATGACAACGAGTCTCTTTTGTTAGCAGTGTCTTTAGTTTTTCTCTTGTTTTCTGCAGGGTTGCCATTAACTGCTCTGAGCTCAGAGTCTTTGTTTCTACTTGTTTCACTCTCCCTTACCGTAACAGACTGCGTCCTGTGGCGGGCAAACCCTCCCTCTCTTCTTTTAAAGCTTTCTTGCTCAAGGCCTGGCCTCATTCTTTTCTCACTTCCTAGCGTGTATCTTCTGATCTGAGGAGTTCCCTTCTCACCACTTTTATTTTCATTACCTAAGCTCTCTCTGCTGGAAGAGTCCTTTAATCTCCAGTGATGCCCTTGTTGATGCTCCGTCTGCTTCAGGCTTGATAGCGCTTGATGCTGGATTGGAGCCTTCTCCTGGTTCACAGTTTGAATTTTTGTATTACTCATCTGAGGGATTTTGCTCCTGCTCAGTGTTGCTTCCTCTGCATGACTCTCAGTCTTTTGGGGACTCTGATGTTGCTCTTTGGCTTTAGGAAAAGTCTCCTCTGTTATCTTTGGACTGCTTAGCTCTCTTGAGTCATTTGTAGACCTGCTTCTCTGGGAGAACTTCTTTTGATCATAAAGAAGGGGAGAGAGCTGGTTGATCTTCTTTTCTGTCCACTCATCACTCTCCTCCAGTGAGTCCAAACCCCTGCTGTGACGGGGCTCATGGCCTCGCAGGGATTTAGTGCTCCCATTTCGGGAATGTTTCAGTTTTCTAGATAAAGTTGAGGAAATAAAAACGGAGGCCCCCGTGGGATGAGGGGAGGACTGAGGTGATGTGCCAGAAAAGAACACCTCCTCAGAAAAGCCTGTGGGTGAAATGAGTTTTTGATGACGTCGATCTGGAAAAGAAGCACAAATTTTTACATGTCAGAACGATAACATTACAAGCAGCAAACAATAATCTAATTTTCAGAATGTAAGGGGAATAACTTTAATTGTTGAGGTTAATAAAAGTGGGAAAATGTGAGTAAGAAAAGAATTACCAAGGTTAAAGAGAAGAGACCAGCAAAAGCAGTGACGGTGTTAGTGTTGGTGCTCAGTGTAATAGCACGCAGAAGAGGAGGCTGTGTTACCTGCATCAGGAGCAATGAAAGAGCCAAGGGGAAACAGATGATTACTGGTTATTTGACAAATGAAAACACAGCAGTTTTCTATTCTATATATTTGCTGTTTAAATTAATATAAATGTTTATTTTTTCATTGTATGTCTTTGAATATTTTGGACATGCAAATGCACTGTAATTGTTTTATGTACCGTAAATAGTTTGTTAAAGGGATCCCAGGAAGAGTAGCTGTCAAGCTTTTGACAACTAATGGGGATCCAAATAGTACCGGTAATACCATAAACTATACAAATCTGTGAAGTATGGAGCAACAAAAAAAAAAAATCCCAGAAAACATTATTATTTTTAACTAGATGAATGTAATATTTCCTACACCTAAGTATTATGTGCAGAAACGTGAGCAATTAGAAACTGAATTTGAAGTACCCTGACTGAAACTGTATTCATTTGACATGTTAAAAACATTTCATGGCATTTTGCTGCAGCTGATGGGCATGTATGAGCTTGCTAGATGTCATTGACGATGGCAAATTATCATCTATAATAAGTGTCATGTAGAAGGAAAACAAGATGGGTGTGGGATAACTTAGAGCTATAGCTGTTGGCTAAAGATGCTAATGTAGAATAGGGCGCAGTCTGTTTCATTGTTTTGTGTTTTTCCATCTATCTACCTCATGAACACTTCAGAGTATTGGCTCAAAATGTGGTGAAAATAAGTTTAATCTGATGTGAAATGTCAATCCACCAATCTTTGCTTGATTACTGTGTGGCCAAAGGATCTGGTTGTCTGAAACAAAAGGCAGTGGCTCCATTGAAATACATCAAATTTGGTCCTACCTTCTGGAACTAAACCTTAGATCAAAGATTATATCAGATATTAGTTCTTTTGCAATCTTCTATTTCATGACTGAATCTTTCATACACATTAAAATGTGAGGTTTGATTAAAAATCCTTAAAAAAAAAAAAGAAAACAACCAAATATCACAGTTGCTTTTTCATCTTTCTATCACACTTTTTCCTTCGCTCTACTTTCCATTTCTTATATACAGTCCTCTGTGGTCTACCAGCTTCTTAACCCTTAGTGATTAGTTTGCTGATGGTGTCACTGAGTCTCAGCTGGACCATAGTCAAATCAGGAGTCTTATTAGTGTCTGAGCTATTACCCAAAAGCAAAAAAACAATCAATATCACAAAGAAGTAAAAACCTGAAATACATTACTTTGCACTGTATTAAAAAAAAAAAAATCAGTGTTTGATACAGTGCAAACTAACGGAAATACCAAGACATTTCATTTTCAATTCTAATCCAGCAACATTTGTGTCATTAGAATGCTTCATACACTCTCTATGACCTTTATCTTCCATCTAGAGCCCAGATATCTGTATCAGGTGTCAGCATCTGGTTCACAGAGATTCTGTCCAACAGGCTTAAATGATCATCAGTAAGCTATGTGGAAATGCATGACACTGAGAGCTGGAATATAACAGCAAAGAAATACTAGATTTCAAACAATCTCTTACTATGTAGTCAAGTTCGGGGTTTATAGAGAAAGAAATGTTTTTCTGCATATTTACTGAAAATTAGAAATAAGAAAAACTGTGGTAGAAAGTGCACAGGAAACAGCAATAACTGCTGCACTGAGAGGGTTTAAAAGTCAACACACAGATATATCCAGGATATATGTGCGTAATAAGTGTCACATTCCTTGTGTTGAGCTATTGCTGAACAGGGGTCTACATCATAGGCCTTTTTTCTTTGGTAAACGGGAAACAGAACTGGACTTTCCCTCGTCTCAAATTCTCTTTTCAGGGGAAAGTGAATTTTGCATTTCATTCACATACCAGGCAGGAATTCTGTAACACATATGATTGGAAGCAGCATGACCTTCAATAAAAGAAATGCCAAAAAGCAATTGCAAAAAAAAAAAAAACTCTGACCACCTCCGACAGATGCAGCTATTCATGCAGAGGGGGCCAACCAATGATTGAGCGGACACTTTTTATAGTATATGGACATTATTTTTAGATGGTGATATTTTTAGTATAATGTTTTTTTTTTTTTGGTCCCTCATCTAAGAAATTTTACAAGACATTTCAATTTGTGTTTTCATTCAGCTGTAAGCTTTATCAGTCTGTGTCCAATAAATCTATAGTATACATTACCTTAAATTTTCACCTATTTCCAAATAGATATGATTTTTGACTAAAAGGTTGAAAACATTAGTAATCAGAGCACGACTGCTTCGTAAATCTTTGCAAAGTGCACAGGGAGAGAGATAACAGGGAACTTTCCCTAAATAACTCAGAGGCGGTGAGGTGGAATTTGCAAAGCTATAATTTCACGCAATTTGCAAATTAGAAGGAGATAAAAAGTTGAGCATTTATAGAGACTTTATTGAAAGCAATCAGAAAGAGTGTACACATATTTCCTGACATGCATAGGGAAGAAAAAAATTATTAAAAACTGATTTAATCCAAATGTTCCATACGTTTAAGAACATTGTCTCATAGTGAATTTATACTGTGATTAAATAAAGTGGGTTAGTACTTAAGTTTCCAAATGAACACAAAACAAAGTTCATTAAAGAGGAAAACTGAACAAATATCTCACTTCCATCCTGGGCCAGACCTGCTCCGGGTCGCAGCAGCAGGACTACTTTGTTTCCTCCAGCTTGAATCAGATCAATCGCCCGTGTATGGGAAATACCACGAGCCGGCTCTCCATTAATCTCCACTATCTCATCACCAACCTGTCACCAATGCAGAAAAACACCAATGAGCATCTAACATACTTTGCAACATGTTTGTTCACACAGAGCTGATCTAAATCTTATGTTGTGCACAGATCCTGATTTATAACACCCTATAGGCTCTTTCTTTCAGTGGTGACAAAACAACTCTGGCTAAAGCCTGAAGACATGTCAGGCTGCTTGGCTCTAATCAATGCTGACATTCTTTAGCATCCTTTGAAAGGCAAAGTCAAGACCAGGGATCACAGTCTGACAGGCTCTAGGGTTTGTCCGCACAAAGACCCTCATTCAAATTTTGATAATCTAATATTTTGTCTCCCTTTGGGAAATAAAATGAAGGGAGACAATATGCTGTCAGTTATGATACCAACTTCTGGGAAAGGATTTAGTCAGCTGCGTGCTTTGGTAGAAAAAAATTATTTGGACCTTTCTTTTATTGAGGTTTATTATTTTATTTCCCTTTAATGGTGTTAAACAGACAAGGAATTAATGGAAACTGTAATTTCATACAGAAAACAGTAAAATCTTTCTAAAAGCTAATGTCATAAAAACATCCCCCTTACAAAGATATGTTAAAGGAGCACTTACATGGATTCTCCCATCCTGCTCAGCTGGTCCGTCTTCAGCGAGCCTCAGGATATACAAGCCCATGTTGTACTCGGTTCCCCCGCGCAAACTAAAACCAAAGCCTACGGGACCTCTCTCCAGCTCCACAGTCAGACAACCCTTCAACATAGACGATAGCACTCAGAATGCACACACATGCTACACAAGATACATTCTAAATACTATGCATGCAGTTATTGCACAGCTTTGCAGTAAGTAGTGAGTTTTAATGCACTCGAAGGATTTAATAATTACCTGATTGGGTCCTGTCACACACAGTGTCCCCACCTCACCAGGTGGAAGAGTTTTATGGTCAGACCAGTTGACTGCATCCCTTTTGTCCTCCAAATCCAGGTTAAAACTAAACAGACAGTTAACAGTTATTTATTATTGCTCACTTCAAACTGAATGCATCAGCACACCAGCTAAAAAAGCTTTTATTGAAATTACAGCTTTGAATGTTCTGCTTGATGCCAGCAGGGAGGGAAACATTCATAACAGAATGTGGGTATAGTTATTTAGATAGGATTTATTATAAATGTACAACAGACTCTTATCTGACACACTCCTCAGTTCAGTGGTTACTTCCTTACATTTTATAATCCCTCTGTGTTGTTTTGTTTGTTAATTGGGTTTTGTTCAGGTTGACATCCCAGGGATTATTATAACAATATTTCAGAGAAACACTAAAACCACTAATCTATGTAATTCACTTTATAATGTTAATTTTCTTTTACTTTCTCCTCTACCTCATAGGTCCAAAGCGTGTCCATGAGCAGAGAGTAAAGTTTTAACTCTTCCCTTTGGTTTCTTACCGTTCATCTTGCAGAGCTGACCTTTGTCCAATGGCCCTGTGTTGAAGAGCTGGACTCTGTTTAGCAGAACTTGCTCCTGATGGGGGGCCCTTGTACTCTAAAATATATAAATATTACACTGATCAATAAATGTAATTTCGTAGTAATTTATTTCAAACAAATTAAAAGTAAAAACAGAAAGGAAAATAAGATAACTAATCATAAATTTTGGTTATACTAATACATTGACTTTTAAAATGTCCGTCTTCTCTTAGATATTATCTCCTCTCTCTGTAACAAATCAGTTTTTTCATATTGTATTGCTAGTTCCTTACTTTGATCATGAATTGTGTAGTTTTAAATAATGCAAGCTCTCAAAATTTCCATATATTTGATAAAAAAAATAATGGATGTTCGTAATATCCCATTTTATGTAGCATTCTTATCATTTTTCTTTTGTATTACATACAGTTGCTGTACACCAGTTTAAAATGTATTGTCACAAACTTCCACAAAATAAGTCAAATACGTTGCAATGAGAATATTGTATAAGATAAACAGAGATTTGTGGTCCAATATAAATCCTATTTGCCTGAAAAAAACAACACTTCTTTGCTAGTCTAGATTTTACTTGGCAGATGATGAAACAGTGTGTTTTATAATAACCTCATCTGCAGAGTTTTTAAGGCATACCCAGAAAAACAGCCTGATACTATAAAGAAAAAGCTGAAGAGAAAACAAAGAGTGGAATAGCTTAGTAAATCAAATGATCCATGTTCAGGCTTATACACCAAAGCAGTTCATTAAGGAAACTGATACAAGTTAAAACTTCCTGTGTCAGACTGGTGTTAATAGTGGGTATAACAACATCTGAGCTTAAAAATTAGTCACAATGAAACGTATTATGTGCACGCCGTCTTTAAGCAATGGTAATAGCATAATGCTATGAATGACAAGTCTGTAGTGAGTTTGACTGCAGCCTCCCCCACTGCTTACTGAAAGGTCCTTGAACAAGATGCTGGCCCCTCACTTTGCTCCTAATCTGCAAATCAGTGTAAGAGGTTGCATGTGAATGGGTGACTGCGGCTTCTAGTCAAAAAGCTTTTCTAATGGAAAGCATGATTAAATAAAAGGATTATTTGAATTTCTTAAAATAACTTATTACATCCAAATTACATCTTACTTTAAAAAATCCATTTATGTTTGAAAAAGACCAACACAACTCTAAGTGTATTACAACAGCATAACATGGTAAGAGCCATTCATGACTACGGTTTAAAAGATATCCTTGGTCTGCTGGAAAAGTTTAGCTCCTTATTGATTAAAACTAAACTAAAAAGGCCCACTATATAATTTTAGAAAAAATTGAGCAGAAAGCAAAAACAATTGTAGAAATGTAAAAAGTTCCAGGTTGCAGAGTGTTGTTAGAGCTAATGCAGCAGTGCTAACTTTGTAAGCTTCAAAAATCCTCTTACCAATCAGATTGATAATAAGCAGCATCCATCCATCCATCCATCCATCCATCCATCCATCCATCCATCCATCCATCCATCCATCCATCCATCCATCCATCCATCCATCAT